CTCACTCTCACTCTCACTCTCACTCTCACTGTCTCTCTCTCTCTCTCATCTCTCTCATATCTCTCTCATCTCTCTCTCATCTCTCTCTCATCTCTCTCATCTCTCCCTCATCTCTTTCTCATCTCTCTCTCATCTCTCTCTCCTCTCTCTCTCTCTCCTCTCTGTCTCTCGTCTTTCCGTCTCTCTTCTCTCTCTTCTCTCTCAGGAGGATCCGGGCAAAAAAGAGCGCTGTGTTTTTTCCTACCTCGCTGCCCTCCACTTTCCCATTCTGGAGCGCTAGCTTTCGCCCCCCCCCCTTGGCCTCAAGTTCTTTCGCAAGTTTTTCCCGGTGCTTACAGGTGAGTGTCGCCGCTAGGATAAAACAATCGTAGCCTTTTTTGGCTTCAAGCCCCTGCTTTAGTACTGTACCCAAAAAGGTGCGACCGGCAACGCGTAGATCGACATCATGCAACGAGCGGTTGGACAAAATGTGAGTCAAGACAAAGCATTGCTCAACCGCAGCATCACGCACATCTGGTACAATGCGATCGCAGAGCAGATCCGTAGTTACTTTGGCTTGGTGATGCTAGCGAAAATCTGCCGATTAAAGGCAGTGGTTCAAAGCAGCCAGCCCATTGCAAGTGGATAATATGGGCGTGTCTTGCCCCGGAATCGTGGAGCCATCTGTGACGAGCGTGTATTTTGTGGAACAGAAGGTTACAAGTGCAGAGGACATCCGAAGCAGTTATTGCCGCAGCATGCGGCGACAGGATCTGATGATACAAGACTCTAACAACAATCATGAACGTCCAACCATCTCCGTCCTAAACCAAATCGCAAACTTGAACCGACACTCCCAATTGGTGCATGCGATGCTGGCTGCCCTGCAGGACACACGTGGAGCTTTTACCTCCTTGTTTCTCCAGGTGATGATGAGCAAGTAGGAATCTTGGATTTTGTTCTACATGGTTGTGTTCGCGGCGATGGACGCAATTTCAGAGAGCGAGGACGAATGGTGAGATAGTTTATGTCTCGCTTTTGAACAAGCATCTGGCGCGTTACATTTTTCAAAAGCATTACACTCTACGTTCCGCGCCACTGGCTCTGCTGTGGTAGCTTCGATTGCGCCAAGTGATTCACCTTCGCAGCATTCATTGTGCGCACTACATTATAAGCAAACATGGTCAAGGAGTGTTTAGACAGATCTTTCCCATGCTTCTTCCTTCCGCTTTAGTCCTTTGCGGCCGTGCGCTTAGCCATGGACGCGGCGTGGAGCTCGCCGGCGCTTTCAATGCCTGCGCAAGCCCTTTTCATTCGCGATCCGTGGTGCGATGAGACCTTACATGGGACCAAGCGCTGGGAACTGTGCAAGCAACGCACCACCAAGCGAGGACGCATCGCCATTGCACAACGACTTATCCATAGACGACTGGGCTAGTGTGTTCATTGCGTGATGACGACTCCGCTTGCAAGCTGCTACGTGTGATTGCAATTCCCAAAGAAAGTTTCTTCGCAAAGCAAAGGCCACCAGCCCCGTTTTTTGGATTTCTCTTTTGTAAAAAACGTTTGCTCCATAACTTGTCTTCAAATGAAGGCTGCAAAGACAACGGAAAGAAGGAAAAAAGAGAAGGAAGAAGGAGGACAAGGGGAGAAAGCCGGCGCTTTATCCATACCTAAATAAATAGGCGGCAAAGAGAAGGGACGTGTCCATGCCTATAAAAGGAAAGCGGCAAAGAAGAAGAAACAGAAAGGAAAGAACACAGGAAAAGGCACACGTACCTGCGCCATGCATAAATAGTGAAGGCCGCAAAGAAGAAGAAAAGAACGGGAAGAACGCAGGTGCCTTATCACGCCTATTTAGTGAAGGCCGCAAAGAAGAAGGGAAGAAAGGAAACAACACAGGTACCTTATCCGAGCCCAAACAGTGAAGGCCGCAAAGAAGAAGGAAAGAAGGGAAAGGACGCAGCTACCTTATCCATGCCTGAGTAATGAAGGCCGCAGAGAAAAAGAGAAAGGAAAGAAAGGTACCTTATCCAGGTACCGCAGAATGAAGGTCACAAAGAAGAAGACAAGAAAGGAAAGAAAGCAGGAAGGAATTGCCTTGCATTGATACTGTAGGCCGCAAAGAACAAGAAAAGAAAGGAAAGAACACAGGTACCTTATCCATGCCTAAATAAGGAAGGCCACAGAGAAGAAGAAAAGAAGGAAACAAACACAGGTACCTTATCCATGCCGGCCGTAAAGAAGAACAAGAACACAGGTACCTGATGCATGCCGAAAAGATGACGCGAGGAAGAAAGATTAGAAATATGGAGCAAAAAGGATCCATACTTAAAAATTGAAGGCCACAAAGAGAAAGAACAGTGACAGAAGGAAACGGACAGAAAACACCAGAAAAGATAGGTCAACAATAGAAGACCGCAGGTACGCTATCTATGCCTTTTCATGAGGACTGCGAAGAAAAAAACAAAAAAGAGTAAAGAAAAACAAGATCAGAACGAAGAGGATAGAAAAGGAAAGACCGCATGTACCTTGTCCATGAGTAAATTCTTAAACATGCAAACAGAACGGAAAGAAAGTAAAAGGAAAGGAAAGACAAACAAAATAGAAAGGAAAAGGAAAGGAAAGACAAACAAAATAGAGAAACGCAAAGAAGAAAGACAAACAAAATAGAGAAACGCAAATAACGCGGGTACCTTATCACGCCTAAATACAGAGGCTGCGAACAGAACAAAAAATGAAAGAATGTAGGTGCCTAAATAATGAGGGCCACAAAGAATAAGAAAAAGAAAAGAGGTGACCCATGCAACGGCGTCTGCACTTCTGTGAGCCGCAGATAAACAAAACTTTTAAGAATGCACTAGTTGTGGCCATTCTGGGCGTGCAAAAGATCCAGGCAACCCTGGAGTTGTCCAAAAAACCATTGTGTTCTTCAAATGAAAGACTATATGGAGTATTAGGTTTAGAAGCTTGGGTGACTCTCCAGCTTTCCTCCGTTGGCTCCGAAATTGGACCCCGGCTTCTCCGTTTTCCGCTCCAACCCTGGATTTCCCTAGTTTCCCGCAACTGTGGCTCACGATCACTTAAACTAGTGCACATTTCACGCACCCCGAGTTTCCGGGCAAAACATGGACTTGGGCCAAGGTCGACATCTCAGTCATGCAGAGCGTGGCCAGACAAGATAAGGGTTTCATATTGCTTGTCTTGCCAGGTTCGTTTCGCTAGCAATCTTGCAGAAACGGCGGTGCATCGTGGCACATCGCGTCGACTGCGGGACATCGTCTGGTCGGAACCATGCCAGTGGCCGGTGTCTGTTCCATCCAGCTCGATGCGACTCGCGATGCTTCGATGCTGAGGCCTCCCTTTGGGATGTCACGCTGGACATTTTGCAGATGTTCCTGGGATGATGTCATGTTCTTTTGCGTCGCAGACGCAGATGCGTTGCAGGTGTCATTCGATGCCATGGAGTTCTTGGAAACGTTTCGTTGCGCATCCGACGTGGTGATCGGCTCGGTTTGTTTGCGTTCGTGGGGCAGGGTTGGTTGGAACCTGGTAGGTGAAAGGACTCCATCAGGCATGAGATGTATAGCATGTTCCAGAAACGGTTTCAGGTTGAAGTTGGTTTTGGTGTCTCATGGGCTTTAAGCTGAGGAATGCCGAGGGTGCGAAGCTGGCCTCCAAAGGGGGCACTCGGGGGTTTTCCGAGTAGATGGCAGAGCCTCCTTCACCATCGGGACCTTTTCTAGACGATAAAGCAAACCACTTCTTGGGATTTGGCTTGAAGACCAGGTATTCAAAGTGTTCTGAGGTATTTTTTGTGGCAATCATCCTCATTTCTCCGTTTCAATGCTAGACCCTGCCACCATTTATGACTTTAGTGTTTCAAGTGCAACCCCTTACCAACCTGGCTGAAAGAACAGTTCATAAACCTTTGGACAGCAGTTCTTTTTACGGCTCTTCTTCTTGCCATGAGTACAAAAACCTTTCAACAGACAATCTTCAGGCTGGTATCCTCACATGGCTAAGAGACCACTTTTCATTGCTCTTCTTTCAACTGGCCTTGGCTGAGAACTGTTTCTGCCACTTGTAGAGTAGATTGACTGTTTCAGAAGACGCCAATGTTGACTGTTGATTCATCATTTTATCTTGCATGCCCATGTAAAGAGATTCAGAACGGTCAGCCATCTGGGGTTTTGATTCATCCACCTACACCTAGGGCTGCCTTTTCGTCCAACTCGGCGAGAAGACGCCTCGTTCCCCTACGCAAGGTGCAACCTGGCGGGCGATGCGGAGTCCATCGCAGGCATCACCGGCTTGAAGGCGTCCTTCAGACCCATCCGGTGACCGTTCGGTGGTGGGTGGTGGGTGGTGGGTGGTGACAGCTCAGCTGGTCCGAGGAATTGGTGGAAGAGTCATCAACGATAGCTGGTGGTTTTTACAGAATCACCAACTGGGTGCAGAGGTGGGTCTCCCACCATGTTGGTGAGCTTTCGATCCTGGATAAGGCGCGCTGGGGGCGAAGCGTGCTTGCCTCGGTTTGATGACTGTAAGCACAGATGCAGGGGTTATCGGGTTCAGGGATGACATGGAGAGATAGTGCTTTGGTCCCAGGATCAATATGCCCAACAGCACGAACTCAAGTTTCCAACTATATAGAGTAGATCAAATTCACAACCTTTCATTGGCATATCCATGTCTTGTACAACTCTTTTTCCACGAGGATCTTCCTCAACCTGCAACTCTTGGACTTGCTCAACTTCCTGCCGAAACCTCCTACCCATCTCGCCGTGCACACATCTCCGTGCCATCCGATGGCGGATTTGGACCAAAGACTCCCGGAGATCGAGACATCGGATGGAGGATTTCCATGACGCATCCTGGAGTGTTCCCGATGTTTTGGGGCACATCTTCAGACCGAAGCTTCGGCCATGAACGACCGAGGAACCACGACGGGTGGAGGTGTCCGGCGAAACACCTTTCACGCCGGTCCCGGGCCCCGCAGGTGTTTCGCTTCATTCGGGTCACGCGGATCTTGAAGACCATACAGTTCGTTCGGATCCTGCGGTTCTTCATGGCCCTCAGGTGCGGCGTTTGAGGGGCCGGAGGCACCATCGGTGTGCACGGTTTGTCAACATACGGTGTAAACATCATATACAGTCATATACATAATTATTCAAACATCGCAGGGAATTTGGAATAAAGCAAGCACTTTGAATGAAAGTACACTGCAGAGATATGTTTGCCAAGACTTAGACGGGTCAAAAGAATTCCACCTTTGATGAACACCTTCCAATTTCCATGAGGGGCCTCTTTACAAAAGGGTCTTTAGGGTTACCATCCACGGCTTTTTCGCAGCGTTTTTGGACCATAAGAGTCATATGAATCATATGAGTCATATGACGCTGCTCATTGGAAAATGTTGCCGCCGAAGCATGCTCGTGATGTTCCGAAATGGGATTGGAAAGAGTTGAGATCCACCACTGTTGCTTAAGCTTGCCAAACAATGCGATTTCCCAGTACCTCTCAGCAAGCCATAGACCCCTGCACGGGGTGTCCCAGCACCTGTCTAGGGGGTGCAGCGGGTCAGCACCCACCCTGACTGACCCCCTCGGGTGACGTCGGGGGGTGTTATTGACGTCGGCGTTTTTTCCAACCTGATGAGGACCTCCGGCGTGTCTTTCTTTGAACGATCTTGGAGCCAGGACGCTACTAGGGGCTCCTGGCCGTACTACTAGGAGCAAGAAGCTACTAGGAGCAAAGGGCATCACTACTAGGAGCAAGGACGCTACTAGGGGCTCCCGGGTGTTTTGTCTTTGCTCGGGGAGAGCAGATGACTCGGACTTGGATGTGGTGTTAAGCCTCGGATGGAGTCCCGGTGTTCTGTTTCATCCGGACACCCCCAAGAGGACGCCCCCAAGATCCGATTTTGACACGTCATTCTCGAGGATGAAGGTAGTGGAACTGGTAGAATCAGAAAGCTTCACCAAGCCTAGCAGAACTAGCCAGCAATCGGGACCACGTGTTTGGTTTTGATAACAATGTTGCGGCTCTCAGAAGTAGTTTTTTGGCAGATCAGATCTGGCAGGGATGCTTCTTGGCGGTTTCCCCCAGCGACGTTGGAGATTTCAACCCAAGCACGGACAAGATTTTTTCTAAAGAGGTAAAAAGCATGAGCAAGTTCCGCCGCACACATGCGGCACAAGAAACACATGGGCCCAGATGCAAACACATTGGCCTTTTTGAGGACTTTGGTGACATCGATCTTCTCTACGGTGAAATCATTGGTCTGGGCCCTCCTTCTGTTGGGTCTCATTGTCTACATCTTTGCAGTGCCTTGGAGCGACCTCGGCCGGCGGAGCCGTGGAGCGGACGAACCACGTGGTTCGTCCGTCCGAGTTTCTGAGCAAACTGAGGCTGTAGGCTGTAGGCTGGATTTCTGCGCCCGTGCCGGCCATTTTCAAGCCAGATTCATCATGAGGTGCAAGCAACACTTTGAGTCTTGCCAAATCAGGGCCACCCCAATCAACCGCTTTAGGTGATGTGTGCTTCCACCCAATCTTGGGTGGGTTGCTTCCTCCTTTTGGGACACCCCACTTTAGCGGGTTTCACAGGACTCCCGTCACAGGACCCGACGATAGGAAGTCCCTGGTCAAAATTTTTGCAACCGTCCGCTTGGCATTCGATCTCGATCCATCTCCACTGCTTGACTTGGCCCGATCTCAACCGCGACGAAGATCAGGTGATCTTCGTCCAGGTGGTGAATGACTATATGGACAGTGCCCACTCGGTGACAGAGGAAGTTCAAAGCTTGAGCCAAAGACACTTCAGCGCCTCATCGGGAGAGAGTGAAAACCGCTTTCGTTCGATTTAATTTCTTCTTGATTGTTTCTTTATATGCTCTATTCTTTCAACTGCAGCAGCTTGGCTTGATTCCAATCCAACCATCTAAATAACAACATCCGGTCGGTGGGAGAAAAAGGATGTTGGGGTCGGCAGTGCGACTCGGACATGTCCGCAGTGCGACCTCCTGACTGTGGCTAATGTAGACTCTTCTCCTTCAGGCCTGTTTTGAGCTTTTACTAAATCAAGAGTCTACATTCCGGCAACAGGTCACGACCCCTTCCTTTTCTTCTTCTTTTTCTTATATATCTGCGGTTGTGTTGATATGCTAAAGCGATCGATCCGAAGACGGAGGGCTTTATGTTTTGTTTGATTAGCGTAGGTTGCTTCCCATCAATCCGTAAGGGACTGGCAAAAGATATTGCATCGGTTCGCTAGTTACACACTAATTATTTAGTTCAGAGATATGGAGGTTTTCTGGGTTTACCATTGCTTTACAGTATTTGTTGTGGTTTGGATAAGATTTGCCTCATGGTCCCGTCTTTCTTTGTGCTTTCTTTGCCTTTTATCCGCCCCGGGATCACTTAGAGGTCGCTCCAAAGATGGCCGGGACTGAATCCTGTGAGCGTTGGTTGAGGATTCCTCACTCTGGTTAGGTAGATTGGTTGACGAATACGAACAGCCGCCGGTTTCGGGGGGGCCCGTAGTGGGTGTTGATGACAGCGTTTCCTTTCGTCCAAGCCTCCAGGCCTCACCCCTGGTGATGGTGATGTTTGACCCGGTCACCGCCGAGGTGACGACAAGTAGGATGAAGAATGCCGTACCTTACCCACTGTACCCACTCTTTGAAGCTATATATATTCTAGATGGAGCTCTAGATACTCTGGGTACTTCATCAAGCTCCGCTCCATTTCATATCTAGTTATGATACCCTAGGTGTTTTTGGTCCCTCGTGGTGGCTCTCAGCAGGCCAAACAAATAGGCAGCGCCTCCCTCGACCGGAGGTTCTTTGACCAGCTGTATGTTGAGCTTATTCATGAGCATCGCTGGTGGTGTGAGCTGGCAAGAGGTCTTGGAGCCGGTGAAGGAAGTCTCCACTTGGTGGGTCTTTCTCTTCTTGTTCTTCATCAGCTTCTTGTCTCCGTCTTCCGCACATTTTCCATATGGCGATGGGTCAAAGCCCAGCCCTAATCCCTGGTAGGTTGACCTCCCAATCCCCATATTGGGTTACAGTAGATAGAGACACGGTGATAATAGGGCCCTGCGTTTTTGGCCCTCGGCATGTGTTCATGACTGGTTTGGTTTGGAACATGTCAGCGTTTTTGGCACCGCTCAGTTTTTTTTTGGGGGGTGAAAGCGTGACTAGTATGCACGCCGCAGAGGCGCAGGCAGCTAGTGTCTTTATTCTTGGAGCAATCCCTTGAGCCTTGAGGAATCCAGTAATGCCAGTGGACCCTGTGATAAGGGAGTGAACATCTGTACAGCCCGTGTACACAACAGCAATCACAATTCATAAATCACTCCCAGCACAGAGTGCTATGACGCTACTCTTTTCCTTTCAAGGCAGAAATTATAAATCACTCTAGCACTTTGTCAAAAGACTTCAAAAGCATGAAATGATTGAATTCTGCGGAAAGCCCAAGAACCGCACAAATCGAGAGTTGCGCATCCAAACCAGCTTTCAGGCTGACCTGTGCTTTTGGGTCAAGTGAAAACAGGAGCGACGCTATTCTGAGTCACGTGGGTTATGACCCCAAGAAAGTCCCACTGTGGTTGACTGCCCCCAGACCTGAGCGTGTTTGTGGTGGACGCGCGCCATGTCGGCGCTGGAGCGGCGCAGGGACGGCAGCAAGAACCGCAGAGCTACTGGAACCACGGCAGCCCCATCTCGGACGGCGGACGAGCAACTGGAGGAGATGGTGGCGGTGGAACAAGCTCGAGCAGGGTGCCGCCAATGCCAGGAGGCTACGGGTCACTACTTTCACCTCACCTTGGTAAACCTCACGGTCCCTTGGAAGGACAGCCCAAGGGAGCGGTGGTGAAGGTGCCTTCATTGTCCCCTATCCAAAAATAGCGGGGAACAATCTTCATGCACAACTTGCTGTACTTCGTGAACGAGCTGAAGAACATGGGGACCTCATCCGGGACAACTTCATGGACCAAGTTCTGGACTTCCTAGTGTACCAGGGCAAAGTTCTGGGACGCCAGCTCACCATTGGATCCTGGGTCCGCTGAGAAGGTGAAGGAACAGATGCAGACTATGGGGTGTGGAACCCAGACCAATGACCCGGTGGAGCTCTTCCGCATCAAGTGCACGAAGAGGCGGAAGCCAAGCTTGCCAAGGGCATCCAACAATTGAACAGCACTCCGCCATCGGGTGCTTCGTTCAAGTCCGTGGAGGGCCAACAACCTGGTGGAGTTCCTGGTCATGGTACGGGGGGGCAAGCTCCTCAAACTATTTCCTCGACGGCGACTACCGGGGTGGCTTCTCTACTTGGTGGACCTCAAGGAGGACCTGCTGGAGTGGTTGGGGCGATGGCGTTTGGTGGTCCAGCCAAGGGGCCGGCCGGGCAACCCAACGTGCTGGTATCCCTCAAGGTGGTGGTGCTGGAGGAGGTGGAAACGTGCCGCCTATGTCATGTGCTACACTGCTACACCATCGCCCAATGAAGGTGGCGAGAGGGTGAATGAAACTCTGCGCAATGTGGAGATTCCTCCATTGGCCTTGCGCACCAGCAGCCTGACCTTTGGAGACTGGTTGGCCACAATTGAGCCCATCGTTGCCGACGTCAGCTCTTCGGCTGGCGAGTGGTGGTTGTGGACCTTGAAGGAGGTGAAGGACATCTATGTACAGTGGTCAACTGTGAACCCGCTGGAGAGGTTGCGGTTGGATGCTGGCGTCACCAAGGAGGCGATCAAATAGCCGCGCGCTGAGCGACGAACGACCAGCTTGCTTCTTCAAGCCCTTCCTGAGGTGATCCGTTCAGAGGCAGTGTCGTCTCGCAAGTTGAGCGCGGCGCTGGGGGGCAGGCAGAGAGGTTGATTTTGATTCGGTTCCTGACTGACTTGAAGGTGACGGGCACCATGGCTGATGTGGCATCTTCATTATGTCAGTGGTGGCAGTGGTGGGGGTGTGCCCAAGAATTGGGCGTGGTGCTACCTGATCCAGTGGTCCTGCCTGGAGTGTTGACGAAAGCGTCAGACGTAATCGCTAAAACCAGTGCTCAAATTGCCTATCGCTTGTCAATGTGCCGTCAACAACTGGGTATGGACACAAGACCAACGGTGGACTCCATCAAGACGTTCGCCGAGGTGATGCAGCCTGAGGCTGAGGAATTGACCTTGGGAGTCAATAGTTCTGGTGGACTGTGAAAACCATTGCGGTGACGTTGGAGAACCATGAGTGCTTCCTTTGTAGCCACCCGCAGTCCCGGAGCCACAATGACCAGGTCTTGGACGCCTGGATGCTGGCACCAATGGAGCGTCCCCTCCACCCTTGACACGTAGTTCATCCAGCTCCTTCATCCCTGGCAAGTCAGTCATCAGCGAGGTTGGCTTGCGCCCCACTCTCACCTCCTCCGAAGCATAGAACAAGCCAACCTCGATGCCTGGAATCGCTGCCACTGACCCGTGTCGGGCCAATCTCATCACAAAACCCCACAGCGCGGGGTCGTGGATGTCCTGTCCAGCGTGATCACGTCGCAGCTTCGTCTTCATCTTGAAGATTCTCATGAAGGGCCATCCCAGGCTGACGAAGATGTCACAGAAAGAACAAGACCTTTGGCGGGCCGTCAAGGGCATCATCCGTATTGGAGGGACTGTCGCCTTTGCTTCGTTGTTCCCTTCAAGGCCGGACGTGGACTATATGTCAGTGGATGTGGTGGGACCTTCACTTGGACTACAGACAGGGCCTCGCTATGCCTTGATTGCAACCGCTTTGGCGCCGGACTTCATGACGGAGAAGGCCACTGATGGGGAGGCTGCGGAGCAGGAAGCCCTGCTCAACGCAGATTCAGGTGACCCACAGCAGGACTCAGGACCACCAGAAGAGATCCAGGACGACGAGGAGGTTGACATCATGGATGAGCAGCGGGACTACGACGAGGAGAAGTTGAAGAAGGAGTTAGAAGTGATCACTGCAGTCCAGAAGGTGCTCAACAGGTTCTATGCTATAGGGGTGCATATAGTGCGCCTCCACTCTGTTCGGGCGAAAGAACTGGTCAGAAAACAGATGGCCGGGGGATCTTCCAGACGGCCAGCGCTTGATTGAGAAGGAGGCCACGATGTGTCCACCTCGGGTCAAACGAGATTTGTGGGACTTTGGAGCACGAGCTGAGGCATCACGCTAAGCGTGTACAGCGATTCCATCCGGAACATAGGTCATGCCCCATGTCGGGGGAACATCTGGAATTTTTTCGTGTCACCATTGCGCGGCGTGTGAGACCTATAACTGGACAAACGACCACGTGCAGAAAAACTCGACAAAACATCCGTAACTGCACTGGCTGCATTGAATTATATAGGATACCTTTCGAAGTGCAAGGAGCAGCAGGCTCGGGTAAAGTTCTTCAAGGCAGTGGTCTTGGCCGCTGAAGAAAAAAGAAAGCTATGCATGCGTTCGTGTGGGGCAGCAACCTGGGTGCTAACGTTGACCTGACAAGAGAGCTTGGGAAGCTGGAAAAAGGCTGTTCGGAGGCCTAGACAAGCTACATGTCTCAGGTGCCAGAAATATGGTGTCCAAATCATCCTTTCCTCCCTCCCTCGTCGGGATTACCTTTAACAGCCCTTGGTGCCTCCCTGGTGCCTCGACAATCTATAATGCTCTTCGTCCACCGAAGACACAGGTAAATCACCTATTTCTGAAACACCCAGGCCTCAAAACACTGAAAGCGTTCACCAAAAATAAACAAACAAGACGAAACTGCATACACACCGAAACCCTAACACCAACGTATGACCCAGTAGATAGGGAGATGTAGGGGTTGTATCATTCTGGTGCTTCAAAGTCGAGCTTCTATGGCCAGGGTAGTGTCGGAGAGAGCTGAGAGTGTCGTGACAGCGTCTTTTTCTCAGGCTTCACAGAGTTTGCAGTGCTGAATGTGGTGACAGGTCGCGACAAACCCGCTGGGAGAGGGTGCAGCTCTTTATTGAACATTCTCAACAGCCAACAAGTCAAGTGCCTGATGTGTGTGTGTGTTCTACGCCATCCCGGGCGGAGGAAGTGAAGGCAATACAAGTCATGTCCCGTCGTTTTGTGCTGATGAAGCACCCTCTTTGACCGGCCTGCCACAGGTGTGTTTTGTCAAAGCAACTTGACTTAAACTTGTGTTGTGCAGGGCTGTTAACCTAGCAAGAATCACCTGAAAACTGTTGTTTTGCAAAGAACTTTCTTCTTGGGCAAGTACTTTCTGTGCGCTGACCGCGCTTTTTGTATCCAAATGCGCGAAAGGGGTTCTAGCATTCCTAAAGAACACATCTGTTGAGAGTTGGTTGGCATTCTTCTGCGAGATTGTCTTTGAACGGCAATATTTTTGAACGTCCAACCGTCCTGGACGGCGCATCCTGAGCTATGCTATTCACGGAGTCCAGGTGCAATTGAAAGCGCCTCCCATGATCAAGCGCACATGATGCAATCCATGATGCAGAACAAGGCCGCTTTTGGTTGTTTCGGTCAGCAGGGTCGGGGATCGAACTCCACCTTTCTCTAGCACGAACATCCTCCCAAGGCTTCCTCCTCAAGCGACGGACTCACCGTGTGTTCGTGAAAATTTGGGTGAACTGCTCAGCTTCCCGCACCTTCCCTCTATCTTCACTTCAGAAGTTTGCTAATTCAGATCAATTCTGGGTTCCACTTGTTTTGCTAGATGTCATCCCTTTTTGCCCCTTAGATTCTTGGCCTCGGCCCACCCCAGTTCTTTGATTTGGGGTTGTGATTTGGGGTTGGTGATGGAATCCTTGACCGTCCTGGTTGTGCTTAATTGGGGTGACTTCTATTTTCTCGATAGGTAAATCCTGGTAAATCTCCTTGAGGGGAATACGGATTTAAACTCTTTTCCCAGTTCCTGAAGCAAATTCAAGTTGACCGACTCTTTGTAGATGGATGCGGTTGTTTGGTTTACCTCACGCGGATTCGTGGCAACATCTGGCAATACGCAAATCAGTCTTTGTGGCCCCGGTGGTTGCAGACCAGCCTCTTCCAGGGGTGGAGACACTGGTGGAATTGCTTTAGCAACTTAGATTAGATCTATCTGTCTATGTATTACTATATACTATCTATCATATACTACTTTTATTTTCAATTTGAACCAGTTCAACAACCTGGGATCCCGGATCGCTGTCGGGTCGTTGGGCTGTTTTTCATCGAGCAGGAAACGCATCTCAACAAGATCAAGGATCTCTTCGCCAAGATGGGAGCCCATGAGTCAGGCCAGTTGTCTTTGGTCCAACACCCTTGCACTTTTTCTTTTTAACGATTTTGAAGAAGAGAACTGCCACATGGAACTTTTTTGCATGGCTACAGTGAGGCGTCTTGAATTTTCTTCTTTTAGGTGAGTTTCGGTTCAACTTTTTGTACTAGCCGTCCAACAAGCTGGAGGATGGATTTGAAACATCCCTTAGTCATCCCGACAATTGAGAAAGAAATGCGCGTACATCTTCGTTGACCGTAGCATGTTTTTTTTTTTCGAAGCTGCCAGGGATGCGTGAGCATTTTCATAAGCCAATTGGCTTGCCTTCTTCAATTCGTGGAGCCTTAATCATGCTTTTTCACATCTTTTCACCAAAGGCCATGAACATTGGTACAAGTTGTGTGGATCTTCTTCCCTGCGGAGGGCAACAAGGGGTTTCCGACCAAGTGATGCAGGGGCACAAGAAAACCCACAGGAAGACACCCACAGGAAACGACCGCTCAAGACCAAAACTGGTGCTTCCTTCCGCTGAAGTACAAACGGGTAACGTAGGTGATGGGAGTGCTGGAAGGGGAAGCGGAACAAAAGCAAGCGTGGACTCCATGCGCTTTTCGCCGCGTTGGGACAAAGGGAAGGTCAGAGACTCAGGTTTTTGTTGGGAGGGAATGCTCATTCAGTGCTTCTGAAGTGGTAGCATTGTCGCTCGCAGACGAAATGCTGTAATGCAACATTCCGTCTCTGAAGTGAAAAGGTGCGCGCTTTCAGTGTTTCCTCAAACTGAGCCGTCGCTATACTTATGATTTCACACCACTTGCTAAGGCCATAAAGACGATGTTTCACAACTAAACTAGGCGTTGGGAAGAACAGCGAAGCATGGCACGTGGGTCTGACAGCCGAAGGGAAGACGCACGCGCGCGCGTGTGTGGCGGAGGAGTGGCTTTCTTTTGAGTGAAAGTGGTTGTGGGCGTGCCGACTGTGGAGTGCAAGAGGAACTCCCAGAGAACCACCCAACAAAAAACACCAAAACCATCCAAAACCACACTTTTTCGGCTGGTGCTGTGCGTGGTGGGGGGGGTGTCTGGGGGAGAGACAGGGAGAGCTCGACACATCCACAGTTCCTTCGGACTCATCGAAGGAGTAACGACTCGTCTCCACGCCTCCGCGACGTCTCCGAGGTGTTGCAAGGAATCCGGAAGGATCCTACCGGTTTTGGATGGTTGATTGTTGTTCCTTCAGCGTTGCGGTTCTTTTGGTGCCAAATGTGTGCTGTGAAAAAAAGGATCCCTCATATTGAGGTGGCGAGACAAATCAGTTCAAGATGGACGCAATAGAGGGGAGACTCCCAGTCAGAGTCTGACTGATATAGAGCATATATAATCATACATGGGCCTTCTCAGGCGGAATGACCCAGCCATTTGGTCATGAACAAGCGGTGCGTCGTTGCAATAAACCGCTCAAACAACGATGGGGGCAGTTTTTGGGCTGGTTTGAACCGGTTTTGGATGCCCCGGTTTTGGGGAGGCTGCATCACCTTCTCCATGTTCGAGGACAAGATCAATGATCCAGCCATTTGGCGTCAGCGAAATCGCCAGGATCCTTCTGGCGAAACATGCAACTTACATGTATGTCTACAGGCCTTGAAGGGCGGAAAGGAGTGAGAAAACTCAGAGGCAGAACCATTTGGGTGTGAATGTCATAGGGAGATCCCCAACCAATTTGGTCTATGTTCCTTTTTCTAGGTGGTCGTTGCCGGGGTAGTTGGGATCTCCCTATTTGAAGATACACACCCATTTGCTTCTTCCTGTCTCAGCGGGCGTTTCCAATTTCTCAGGCCGCAACAAGATAAATGTTCATTGCACAGGGTACAACCCATCCATCTCATCTTCCACAGATCTTTGCATGGTCAGAAGGTCCAAGGTCCTAAAGCCGCCCTTGTCACAGTTTGACATTTGAGAGGTCATCAAAGATAGCAATCCCAAGAGTTTTTTGTTGTCTATTGAGATCACCCAGTTGATCTGGGGTAGAAACGGCCCGATCTGAAGGGTTCTTCGGCTTTTGGAACCCGTCCCGTCCCGGTGCGACCTAGGACGTTCGGGCCTTTTTCGAGTCGCTGGACTTGGCTTCTTGGCGACAAACTCACGCGTGGGCGTGTTGGCGTCGGTTGTCGTGGGTGTTTTTTGAGGGACAAGGGTTGCGTGCGGACTTTCGGGAGCCAACCACACAACGAAACAGGCAGTCTTCGGACAGAGGAAGGGAGAAATATTGGTTTGGCTCTGCTTGGAACACTACACATGATATATAACAGATTATAAAGGTTAATTCGGCCTCCGTTGTATTCAATTCAATTTGATGCTCCATTTTGGTGTTGAATTTGATGGGGTTTCCCCGCGCGATCCTTTTGGAACCGGTGCTGGTTTGCCCTGCGGTTCAAGTTGATAGACCAGGAACGATCATGTGTTGCTCTAAGTCTTGGGCCGTCCGACGGGCTGGATTCTTCCTGATTCTTACTGGTGAAATGCCTCAGCGAATCGTTCCATGGGCCAGATTCCGGGCGAACCCAAGAACCCAACCTTTGCATCCACCAGCGAGCCAACGCGAGCCAAGCAGAGCGAGCCAGCGAGTTCAGCGTGCAGCGTGAGGGCCTTCGAGGGCCTGACCTTGACCTTCGGGCCGATATCGACCTTTTTTGAGACACCAAGATAAAGAGATTAGAGGATTGTACAGTCCTGGACCCCTTCCTGGATTGGGTTCACCCGATCTGAATGTGCTGGTACTTTTGCCAGGACTATTGACGACTAGAGAGTTTGGAAAAGGATCTCTGATGAATTCTTTGAAGACTTAGGTTTGACAATCCAGGACCTTGGAAGACCTTACTCTCAACACAAACGACTGGCGTTCATGGATTTGCTCCAGACCAAGTCCTATTGAAACGGCGACCCAACCTGGGCAGGTTCTCCCCCAACCTGGGGTAGTTTCTCCTGGACCTAGACGTAGCCATTGGCACAAAGAAAAGAAGGCAAGCACAGGCAAGCACCGCAAGAAAGACCACATCCTGGAGGATGTGACGGAAGTGATGACACCACTCAGCATGAAAGGTAAATACTGGTTGTTTGCCACAGACTCAAGGTTGAAACCTTTGGCCAAGAGACACCCCTTCGTTCGACTTTGATCACGCGCCCTTGACAATGGTCTCGGCAGGGGGGTCGCATACAGTTTTTTTTTGCGAAGTGATGGCTTTGCGGACAAAATGTTGCCGGACAATGCAAGATTCCACCTTTGGATGAGGGAATGTCCTACACCCAGGTTTCTGCAGG